AAATTTAGTAGACACTTATTATGTCCCCCGCCAGTCATCACTTAACCAGGCTATACATATTTAATTATTTTAATGTACGCCCCTAAGTCAACCTCTTGAACTCGTGCTGGTAGCTGTATTTTGTCCTCACTCTGGATAGGTATGAAGAAGGCTGGAACCAGACATCTTGCTTCTAACCATGTTTTTCTGAGGAAAAGGACTGATGGTCCATCTTCTCCAATCACAGCCATCTGATCTGGAATATTCATTCTATAAACTTGCAGATGTTTTGTTACTATCAGTTCTATTTTAATAATATTGCAAATAGTTTTCAGGTTCATAATCTCTCTTCTTTCACTAAATAAAAATATTTAAGGTGTTTTTTTTAATTTTGAAATTTTAAATACTTGCACATTCCTCAAGTGGAATGAATCCATTAAAAATCCTGTGTGTGTAATTAAACAATCTTAGTGTCCCTAGATTTTTCTGTCATTTCTGGCACCTGCCATTTCTTCCTTGGAGGTTTACAATTGCAGACTGTAATACTTTCAAAATAATGAGAATTCAGATTCTGCAAATCACCCAAAGCCAAACATCAGTTTCTTTGGCCAGTAAAGCATGCCCAGTTAGCTGATGGCTTTCAAAGGAGCTGACAAAAAGCCTTAGATAATGCACTGAGTCTGGTGCTGTTTAAGGCCATCACAGTGTGCTGTAATTATTGTGGCAGGCTCCTTCCTGTCTAGAATATCTCCCCGAACAGTCGGTAGTGTGTCTTGGGGTTGACAGGTGGCTAGATTCCCCTCTGTGTGAGTGAGGACGTTAGATGTTGCCAGGAGAATTTAAAGCAACATACCCAGCGTCTTAGCACTTGAATTGTTCTGATTTTTCCCTTAGCTCTGTGCAATATGCATTTCTTAGGCATATGCCAGAGAAAAGCCTCCTTTCCTCCTTTTTCCTGAACACCCCTCCTCACCAAGGCACATCCTACAATTTGCTGGCTGCCCCTGGGGGGCCGTCCTTGCTCTGTCCCCCGACAGCCCTGTGCCCATGTTTTATGCAAAGATGTGAGCAGCTGGCCACCAAACCCTTGAGAGTCTGGGGCTTTTGTGTTCCAAAGCCTCTTCTCTGCCTTCTTTTCCCTCCCCTCCTGGCTTCTAGGCCCTGTGATCTTTTCCTCACCACTCCCTTGTGTCAGCAGTCACTGGATGTGTGCTGTGTTTTTTACATGCCAGGCATTTGAGCTGAAGAATGCTGAACTTTCCTGAAAGTGGTTGATAAACACAGGGAGTGGTGGCACAAAATGTCTGGTACTTAGTAGGTCCTCTTGGCGGAGACTTTGTTCAAAGCTTCTAAAGAAGTACCATATTACTAGGCAGAGAATCTAAAGAGGCACTATAGCATATGGATAGAATGCAGGGGCTGGGGGACAGAGACTGTTATGAGGCTTAAATCAGATAATGTATTTAAAATTCTAAAATAATGAAAGCTTAGTAGATGAATTTGGACCCTGGAATCAGACTACTTAGGTTTCAAGCCCAGTTCTACCACTTACTATCTTTGTGACCTTGGGCAAGGTCACATCCTCAGTTGTTTCATCAGCAAAATAATAAGTCAGAAATAATAATAGTTCCCACACCATGGTTGTGATAAAGATTCAAGTTAATAGGTATAAAGCACTTTAAAAAACTGTCTACCATGTAATAAATGCACAACATATGCTCAATAAAGTCTAGTTAAAATAGTAGTAAAAATAATACTATTTTTACTATGAAGTACTTCAACGATTCACCAGCTCCTCTATATAGCTTAATTACTTCAGTGATCTAGGATAGCTCATAAAATTGTGGATGTAGAGAACAAACTAAAAGTCCCAGTTCAAGTTCTAGGTCTCATTTTGGTAGTTGCTGGTGGGAGGGATCATTGTTTTCACCGGTCATGCCATTTAACAAGAATGCCCAAGTATCTCACTCTATGAGATCAATGGCACAGAATTCAAGATATAGGATGTTCTACTCTGGTAATAGCAACATTACAGCTAGAAGACAGGCTTGCTGGCAAGTATAAATAATCCTGAGGCAAAGAGGAAAAAATAGCCTAGATATCTCTGCCTAAAGTCGTCCTAATACTTTCCTGTTTTGAGCAAGTTCAGGAACTACTCTAAAAGCCAAAAATCCAGTCTTTAACAACAAAGGAGAGGTTATTTATTAAGCATGCGGTAGGAAATCAGCCTTCTAGAGGTGCTGGACAACAGTAGAAACTGAAAGAGGCTGCTGGAAGGAGTTAGGCATGGAGAAATATTTCTAGATGTCTGTCTGGACCCATGAACATCTTGAGCCCCACTTTACCTTGTGCCCATTTGGGGAACTGTATTCTACTGCCTCGGCGCTCACTGCAAGAACTGCCCCCATAATCAGATGAATAAACATGCTATAGGCCTGAGTCCTGCACAAAGCCAGGGTGGTCACAAAGTTAGGGTTCCTCATTGGAAGGAAGTGTGATGCTCATCAGAATGGAATTTGCCCCAAAGAAAAGTTTGTGTGACCCAGTTCAAGGACTGGCTGAGGTTCCAGCTGCCTGTGATTTCATCTGATCGTGGGAGAAAAGATAGAGATGCACTGCTGTCTCCTATTTATCATTTGCAATGGGAACTGTGTGGGCAGCTTCCATTATGCCAGGCCAAATTTAGACGAATGAAAAGGTCCACTAAGTAATTATTGATTTTGTATGTGTGCATAAATTAGAGCATGGAGTCCTTTAGTCACTGCTAAAAATAATCCTTCTATAGATTGGGTTTGGGAGGCAGAAGGCCAATGGAACATGGATAAACCAACAGCTCTGGTGGTAAATCTGTACATCGCATAACTGTTTCCTTATGGTTGACATGACAGTTCAGGACTTATATAAAAAATCAGCCAATGAAGCATTTTGGAGATCTGTGAGAGGATTGGACAAGGCAAACCAGAGCCATTCTCTCTCTTTAATCATAAAAATGATATTGGCCATTATCCTTTTAGCAACAAGCTTCTCTCAAGCAACAGTGACTTATGAATGCTATTCTGAGGAGAACTAGTCAATATATTAGTTTTCTTTTAATTATGCAGCTACAGCAGCAAGTCACGCATGAGTTTTATGGAGCTTTGCAAATTTGAAACCGGTTCTGGGAAGTAGAGAATTTATTCGTATACTATGGAGCAATTTGCTCTGGTTAGAAGAGAGAAACCATACCCTTCTATCTTAAAAATGAAGAGCTGGTATTTGAATGGGAAATTCCAAGGATCTAATAATCAAATCAGCCAAGGCTGTTAATTAAAATTGATAAGAATGAAGCATTTACGTAACACTCTAGAATGTTGTACTGCTGGAAAATTATCAATTGCCTAAAGTTTGCTACTGTTAACATGCTTACAAGGGGAGAAAATTATGGTAATAAAAGAAGAATGTATTTTGTCATCAAACATGGTACACTTTTGGCAAATATGGATTTATAACTTTTAGAGCTAAGTCCAGCTAAATTATACGACTATCTTAACTCTGTTTAGATTTGAGTGGTTCAAAGTCAGTTTAGGCATTACAAGTGCATCTTAAATTCTAGATTGCTGTAATTCTATCTCTTCTTGGTTAGTAGTTCCCGTAATGTTGAGAAACAAAATGTCTTGTTTAAGCTTAACTTTGTATACCTTAGAAGCAGCCTCAAGGGGGTGTAGATTGCTATACTCTGCTGATCTAAAGGGCCACAACAGCTTCCAAATTAAAGAAATGAGAATTGGCATGTCAAGGAAGAGGGATAGCTGAGAGAGGGTGGTGACCTGTGAATGGAAATACTAACCTCTAGATGCACATGACCCCTGCATACAGGTTAGCTCTGCTCCAGGCTCCAGACTCCAGGCCCACTTCTGATCTTAGACTGGAAGGGCCTTGTGGCTCTGACGGGGCTCAGCACTAAGTCAATCTTGCTACCCATCTGTGACCCTGTACTCCAGTTTTCATACAGGGGCTTCTCCCTCGTGCAGGAGATCCAGTCTCCACTCGATATCCTCTTCCTGGTAGCTGGGTCCTTGTCTTGCTCCTTGTGGCTCTTTATCTGTCTAATGCCCTAGTCCTTTTAGAACTGGTGTCTTCCATTGCCAGTCCCTTACCCAAAGACCAGAGGTCTACAGTTTTCCCTCTTTCTTAACTCCTGTTGGACTGGATACCACCTGCTTCTAGACTCTTCATGTCATCTTTTGAATGGATGTTGGGACTCCCTCTTCTCCTTTGGGTTGGCCATCTCCTCCCTTCCACTGCTTCATGCCAACCAATAGCTTGGACAAGCAGATGTTTATTGTTATCTACTTTCCAAACTGCATATCCAAGTCCAGCAGAGTGCCTGGTTCATAGTAGGCATTGGATAAATATTTGGCAAATGAATGAATTCATTCTACCTGCCAGCCAGGACTTCCTTCCAGTGTCCCCTGGAAAAATCCATCTTCCCAGAGGTTTCTAGACCTCAGCTCACCCAAGTTTGCCCAGGTTGCCTTGCCCCACAATGAGGTGGGACACAGCACCAAGACATCAGGCATCTTAGGTAAGTTAGTGTCAGCCACACGATGTGTCCTCAATGCCTCGTTCTTCCCTCCAGGCTTTTCTGTTTGCCTGTTCGGGTTGCATTTTCTCCATTGGCTCTTTGTCCTCTCCCAGAGCCTTCAGGAATTATTTGATTTGATTAAATTAATTTATGCCAAAGTGTCAATGACTAGTAACTTGGGGCAATCAGCCAGTGAACTTCAAGATATAGCCCTGGGGTATAGTTAGTGAGCCAAGAGGAAATTCAACTGAGGTGTTGCAGGAATGTTTTTAGAAACTGGGAATATTTAGAGTGCGTGGGAAAGTTGTTGGTAGTAAATGTGCCACGTCTTCTAAGGAGGAGGAGTCCTGAACTTGCCCAAGGCCTTTGCCTCTGAGCCTTCAACCACATTCTTAACTCTGTGAAGTTGTGGGCACTTTCTCTGCTTTTGTAGTGACTCCTTTTCTGCCCCAGAAACATGAGGCTTTTCTTGCGGAATGTGGTCGTGATGCTGTTAGTCACAGCTCTGAGTGGTGCTCTGATCCCTGAACCAGAAGTGAAAATTGAAGTTCTCCAGAAGCATTTCATCTGCCATCGTAAGACCAAAGGAGGGGACTTGATGTTGGTCCACTACGAAGGCTCCTTAGAAAAGGACGGCTCCTTATTTCACTCCACTCACAAACGTAACAATGGTCAGCCCATTTGGTTTACCCTGGGCATCCTGGAGGCTCTCAAAGGTTGGGACCAGGGCTTGAAGGGAATGTGTGTGGGAGAAAAGAGAAAGCTCATCATTCCTCCTGCCCTGGGCTATGGAAAAGAAGGAAAAGGTAAAATTCCCAGAGAAATATATCATAAAGTAATTGTTTAGTAGTTATTTATATATTAGATGAACTGCCTATCCATGTCTGTGCTTTTGATTGGCTCAATGTGGATACCTGATGAATGAGAGTTATTAATGGGATTCGTTATTTTGTAGGTTAAAGTGTATTTAAAGAAGGAGTTTGAAAAGCATGGTGCTGTGGTGAATGAAAGTCATCATGATGTTTTGGTGGAGGATATTTTTGATAAAGAAGATGAGGACAAAGATGGAGTTATATCTGCCAGAGCATTTACATATAAACATGATGAGTTATAGAGATATGTGTGTCCATTTTATATAGCATCCATCTTTAAAGAGAGGGCAATTTCCATCTTTAAAGAGAGGGCAATCATCTTTAAAGAAAGACTTCTTTTTTAACAATGTTCCATTCTTGCTTTGGTTTTTATTTTTATACATTTTTCTGACTATTATTTAAAGAACCCCTTAGAGTTTTTAGTACCCATTTCTTTCTGATAAGTTATTGGGAAGAAAGAATTAATCTGTCTTTGAATAGAAGACTTCTCAACCATTTTCCTTTTTGATATATGAAGCCTTGTTTTACTTGCTTACTTGTAATTTTAAAATATTGCAACTGGGAACATACCACCCATGAGACCAGGTTATAGCACAAAGCAGCTCCTGATATTTCTTCTTCCCTCTATTTTCTCCAAGTTAGATACTGACATATTTGAAAAGCCTTTTGCAGTTGCCCAAGTCTTGCTATTTTCATGTTATAATGAAATAGTTTAAGTGCCTTTGAGTCACTGCTTGATGAAAATGGTTGTTAGACTTTAATTGTTAACAGTTAGTCCTTTCCTAAGAAGACGTGCAATGCCGAAGTGAATGACAAAGTTAATAACTTATAAATATGTTTGCATTGAAACATTCTGCACTCGGTTCTTAGGGACTAATGGCCTAATGTGATAAATAGGAAAAATCATTTATGTGTTTCTTTGTCATAAAATGTACCAAAATGTTATAGAGGAGGTGATAAATTGTATTTATATTCAGTGTTTACTATTAAGGCTAGCAGATTAGCCTTCCTGGTTCTTTAATGAATACAGTCTATAACTAATGTATTATATCACAATGACATTGTATCATAAGATAAATTAGTAATCCAATTAAGAATTTTCCATTTCTGCCTCATCACAAAGTGAGGGAGACCTACTGTAGCTGCTATTGAATAGGTGCTTATCCTGGGTCAAAAAATTGATGATTTTATAGTTTTACCTTAAATTGGCTTTTATATTTAATACTCTTAAAAAACTCTCCAACTCTCCATTTACTAAGAATAGTCATTTATATTTTACAAACTATCAAGTGCATTATTGTCTTTGACTCTCATTGCTCTGATGTCCATGAAAAAAGCTGGTGGATCTTATGATACCTACTTTAGAAATGGAACACTGTCACTCAGAGATATTGATTATTATACCCAAGGTCAACAGCTAACTTGTAGACCCAGTTTTCAGTCCCCAAGTTCATTGACTTACTATTGCCCTCTACTAATAAAAAAAAAATGTTGAATTCATTGGCCTCATTTTCTAGTTTGCTTTTCTTCTGTTTGTCTTTGGGTTCTTGTCCTCTGAATATGGTTTACTGGCTGTTTCTGGTACATTAGAATTCTCCCTGTGACCAAGGAATGGCTCTGGTTTCATAGAATAATCTTGGGGTTAGCTCTGGATTGCCTCAAAAACCCCGAACAGTGAGAGGTTCCAGGTGTGTGTCTTTAGTTCTTCCCATCCTGTTTGCCACGTTTGTTTTTTTAAAAGAATTAAGAGCAACTATTACATCATATATAGACTACTTTCACTAATTACATATTGACATCTTCCTCACTAAAACATATGAGGGTACACTTCAAAAAGTTTGTGGAAGGGCCGAGCCCATGGCGCACTCGGGAGAGTGCAGTGCTGGGAGTGCAGCAGCGCTCCCGCTGCGGGTTCGGATCCTATATAGGGATGGCCGGTTCGCTCACAGCGCTCACTGGCTGAGCGTGGTGCGGCCGGTCTCAAAAAGGACAAAAAAAAAAAAAAAAGTTTGTGGAAAAATGTGATTAAAAAAATAATACAAATCTTTCCACAGTCTTTTTTTAAGACCCTTCATATACTTCTTGGGAAGAATGTACTATAACAGCTTTCTCTGGAGAAATCAGCTATATCTTGAAAACTGTTAAGTCGTCACTGATGTTTTCCTGAACCTGGAGGAGTAATAAGCCACAGTACAGAAAGCTTTATACTGTATGATGGGAGGAAGGAAAGTGGCTTGTCCTGTGGTGCTACTTTGTATAAAGATTACTGATGCTGTCTGTGGTAGAGCAAGAAAAGTAAAAAGAATTTTGATTGTTCAGACAGCATATTCTTTATCTTGCGTGAATTTGTATCAAGCTCATCTAAACATTTGGACACAAATATGAAATGAAAAATATATATAGATTATGGTTGTTTTTAAGTTATCTGTTTTTTTATCTTAGCTGTACCTTTGCACCCTTCCGGTAGTGGGAATAATCAGACATGAACTGTGACTTCACATGTATATAATTTGAGTCATTAATGTGTCATACTGAAATTTATATGACGATGTTTTGGTATTCTTTTCAAAATAAAGTTTATTTGTGAAAAAAAAAAAAGAAACTTGGAGTATTTAGCCTGGAGAAGGATATCTTAGGAAGGTCACGGCAGCTATATTCAAATACACACACACACACACACGTGTCAGATGTGTAAAAGGCAGAATGCATGTATGTCGAGCAAACAAGAATTGGTGATGATCTGCCTTGAGAGGCGTAAGTGCCCCGTTCCTGGAAGTTGAGCCCTAGGTCTCCTGCAGACCCAGCAGAGGGAGCCTGGTCATGGTTGATGCTGTGTGATAATGACATGGTTCTTGACGCTTCCCAGCTCCAGTAGGAGTATAAACCCAGGCTGAATCTCACCAAGAGCTTTCTCCTAGCTGGGCCTCCTCCTCACAATGCCACTGCCATTTCCCATTTCTCCCAAGTGGTGCTCAGTGCTTGCTCTGTGGCAGACGGAGTGTCACGAACGTTGTGGCTTCCTTCCTTGTCTAGTTATCGTAATCCCATTCGTCTGGTCAAAAGTTGACTTAAAAAATTGTGTGGCATAATTCTGGCGCATGCATTTGAAGGGAAGTTTTTTAGAAGAGGAATACTGGTTCTTGGAAGGGTTTTCCTTCTTCTAAGAAAGGAAGACAGAGTCTGTATTGTTCTGCTGGAAGCTGTTGTGTCAGGTTATAATAATGTCTGAACTTCAGCAACAGTCTTTCCCTGCTCTGAGGTTAAAGCCAGAGCCAGGCTACTGGGTTCTTTATGATGAGATTCTGGAAGTTTCTCTGACTCCTTTGAAAATGATGAAAGAAAGAAAACCTCTGGTAAGAATCAGTAGAACTTTTGAATTAGATTGGTTTGAACCATACTGTGTCTGGTCAGACTTATGATTCCTGGGAAGATGATGTCATTTTATTTGTTTCTCCCTGTGGGGAAAGCAGAAAAATATTCTAATTTTCATCTTGAAGTTAGTGTACCATAATCGTAATGTGTCTCCAGTAGTTTCCTTTTAATCAGTGTTCAGATGAAAATAAAATTGAGTCAAGGGAGGTTCCAAATGCAAAGCAGCCCATCATGAAGACACCACACACACTCAGCATGTGTCACACCAGGCCACAGTCAGCTGGTTTTCCTTTGCTACAGAGAGGGGGCTCAAGATAGTGGCTGGCCCCATCCCCCAAAATAATCCTGGGGAAAGACAGGCAGTGCTGAACATTTTGAACCACCTAACTAAATGTGACAAAGTCTCTGCTAAGTCCTGGCATCTAAGAATGTGGAATGTCAGCGAGATGAGGGATTTGAAAGTAGCTTGCGAATTATCATGTGCTGGACACATGGAAGGCGGAAGACGTCATTGTTGGGAGTGCTGGGGAGAGGGAAAAATCTAGGTTAGCCCTAGGATAGCAAAAGCAGTCCCGATTTAAGGAAAGGATCCAGAATCATTTATTTTCTAGCTGATGACTCAGGTAAGGACTTATGGAGCTTCCTCTTGCCTGAGAGAATCAGATGCTTTATCTGAATTAGCAAAGGGATCTCAGGAAGGTGGGTGGCTCAGCTCCCACATCAGGAATGGGCTGAAATTACTGGCTGCTGGTACATCTTTATACACAGCTCCCAATCCCATCACTCCATGTCACATCTGATACAGTGTAATGCAATGTGACTAATGTAATCACTTGTGAAGTGCACTATAGCAACATGTCAAGTTGGAAAATCTGAAAAGAGAAACAGGCTTCTCTCTAAATCATGATTGGGTTCTTTTTCTTAGCCGGAGGGCTCTGTTTTCAGTGTGGAGAGTTTTTTGCATTGACCTTCTGGCCAAGGGCATATGTCAGGAGGGCTCATCTTTCCCAAAGGTGGTGACCCTGGGCACGTGAGCTGGAGCCTCATGGACTGGTCCCCACCTGCCTTTCAAATCAGCCTGCCTCACCTTTTTCCCACAACAAAGCCTTTACCCCGGAGATGTGTGCTGCAAAACTGACTGCTCAGAAAATGAAAGGACATCTATCAATTTCACTAAAGTTTAGGGAAGGTATGCTTGGAAACAGTTTTCCAAAATGATACCTAATGTAGATGCACAATTTTTGGTATATTTATTTGTTAAACTGTCAACTTTTAAAATAAGCTTCCTGAATATAGCAGGGTAGGCGATCTTCATGACCCTGTCTCATTAACAAGTATAAGTTACAGGAAAGGATTTTCTGTGGCTTGGTTTAGTGGAGACGTCCAGTCTCTTCTGTCCCCAGTGGGCCATAGTGCTGCTTGCTCTCTCTTTCTCTTCCCCCATCTATCTCTTCACCCTCACCCCTCCCTCCCTCTCCCCTTTTCTGTCCCACATATTTAAATTTCTAAGATGCATGTAAGAGTTTGAGATTAAAAGAGGCACTTGGAGGGAATGGCACAGTCAAGTCTAAGAAACACAGAATCTTGATCAGTGGTCCACAGAGCCCGACACATGAACAGACAAAAACAGAGCTGCTCTGTGGCAGGCAGGTGCAGGATTGGTGCCAGGCCCGCCTCCCATTCTCCCACCCCAGTTTGCAAACCACTGCCCTAGAGCATGGAGTCAGAGACCACAGAAATTTAATGGTGAAAGATCATTTAACTTTTTCATACTACAATTGTGGAAATGAGCCCAGAGAAGGCCAAGAATGTCCTAAGATCACCAGGTTGAGCTGGGAATAGAACTTGGCCCTCCCAACCTCCCAGCCCG